TTTCAAAGAATATAAAGATTCTGTTACCTGCACACAGACAGCGGGAATCAATAAAAGGTTTTTCTTTTTTATTGTAAATTGATTTTGCCATCAAAGAGGATCGATTTACTAAGTATCAAATCTTGATAACAATGGTGTCGCTTTACTTAGTGGGGGGCATTGTGTTTGTTGTGTTTTCGTTATTTACCTAACTAATATAATTACTTAAGAGAGAGAATTTAATGCACTTTCACTTTACTCTGACTATATATATATATATATATATATATATATATATATATATATAAAGAAATATAGTCTTAAGGTGTGCTATATTTATGGAATAAAGTGCTCAATATCAGAGATAGAGCGTGTGTAAATATAAAAGTGAACATAAAGTCAACACTTAGAGGCGACAGTCTGTTTCATGCTATATGCAATCGTCAGGCCTGACGACTGCATATAGCATGAAACAGACTGTCGCCTCTAAGTGTCGACTTCTATGTTCACTTTTATATATATATATATATAATACTCAACCGTCGTTTTCGACGTATGAGGATCTGACAACAACCAATTGACTCAGTTATGAAGTTCGTGCGATAATCTTAAGTGGCACTTAAGACCCGCAAGTGATTTGCAAATCCAACACACACACACACACACACGCGCACACACACACACACACACACACACATATATATATATATATATATATATATATATATATATATATATATATTATTTTTCAAACTCGCCTGCTGGAATCCACAGTATTCATCTTATTGCAAGTCATTGGCTATCTGATGACTATGTGAAATACATGAAACCAATAGTAGTCGCCAGTCATTGCCGGCCTGGTTATTTGAATTAATATTCAAAAGCTCTGCCATTTCTTATTTCTTATGACATGGATCACTTTTTATGCCAGACGGCTGTTTTAGGAAGACTCTTTTAAACCCTGGATACATATATATATATATATATATATATATATATATATATATATATATATATATATATATATATATATATTATATTCGAAAAAATTATAACATAAATATGTTATAAGATCACTAGAAAATAGACACTTATCAAGTGATGGTGTTGAATGTAGAACCTTGTATATATATATATATATATATATACATGTATCTCTCTCTCTCTCTCTCTCTCTCTATATATATATATATATATATATATATATATATATATATATATATATATATATAAGTGAAGATTGAAGTTAACGCTCAGAAGCAACAGGCTGTTTCATGCTAGACGCAACCGTGACCTGACGATTGCATCTAGCATAAAACAGCCTGTCACCTCTAAGTTCAATCTTCACTTTTATATTTACATAACGCTCTATCTCTGATATTGAGCACTTTATCCCATAAATATAGCACACCTTAAGACTATATATATATATATATATATATATATATATATATATATATATATATATACATACACTTTTTATATATATATATATATATATATATATATATATATATATATTAGGATATTACATGAAAACATGTCAAAATCGCTACACAATTGAAGCCGTGTTTGGATGTGTATCAATGCATCTCATCAAGCGATTGTAAATTACTGGCAAGTGAACGATTTATTTAGATTTAAAAGCAAAATACAACCTCTTTTACGAAAAAAAAAATGAAAAAAAGTGAGGGGGGGGTATAAGGTTTGTGGGTGTTACTCAGATCAACCAATCGAATATGACCTATGTTAAATTTAAACTAAGCGAAGAAGCAAAAATTAAGAAAATATTTTCCATAAATAGGTCATGACCCGTAGATTTCGCAATCAATGGCAGTAAAGACTTTAAACAAAAGCGGATATGTTTTTTACACTCTAGACCAGGGGCGGGGAAATTACGCCCCGCGGCCCACATCCGGCCTGCCAAGGCTTTTAATGTTGACCTCTATTACTTTTATAATATTTACAAATTTAATAAAAATTCTCTGGGTATTTAATAATTGAATAAAAAAATCTCGAAAGAAACATTTGTAATAATTCCGCTTTGATTCGAATTTTAGTTCAAGTATCATTTTGCAGGATATTTGTAAACGAGATTTAGTGAGAGTCGCCATTTTGTGGTTTTTTAAAATTTGATTCTGTTTTTTAGTAAGGTAGATTCTAAATCAATGGAAAAGCAGTCACTCATAACGAGTTCTAAAAGACGTAAAGTTGACTTTGAACGCCGTATTTTTAAAAAGCAATGAACTGAAAAGTATTTCTTCGTAGAAAATGGTACAAAAGCTGTGTGCCTGATTTGCCACGATACTTGTGCAGTATTCAAGGAATATAATTTGAAAAGACATTTTCCGTCGAAACATGACAACTTCAGCCAAAACTTTTCCACACAAGAACTGCAAAACAAAGCAACAGACATGGTTAAAAAACTGAAACGCCACCAAGGCATACTTTTAAATATACATCTACACAAGAGCTTGCAACAAAAGCAAGTTTTATATTGGCAAATAAGATCGCAAAACATAACAGGCCGCCATTTTCTGACGCAGAATTTGTGAAAGAATGTATGATTGATGCAATTGATAGTGTGTGTCCAGAAGTAAAAACAAAAGTAGAAGCAATTTCATTGTCACAGAACTATTATTTACAAGTTGCTTTCATTTCAATGCATAATTCACCAGGAAAGTCTTTGCAAAACAAAATTGTATTTTAAACGTGATTGATCCAGTGGTACGTGAAGTAAATGTGATAAGATCAAAGCGGACTAAACCACGGTTTCAAAATTTGTTGCAAGAAATAGAGTTTAATTTTTCTGTATTGTATCACACCAAGGTAAGGTGGCTAAGTCTTGGAAACGTTTTGAAAATGGTATGGAACATCAAAGCAGAGATTTTAATGATTTTTGAAAGGATGTGGCTTGTGATTTCTCCAACAAAATAAAGGACACAGAATAGGTGTATGATTCTGCATTTGCTACAGGCACCATGCAAAAAATGAGCTTTCAAGGTAAACGTGTCTTTGCTCATGATTTATTTGCGAGGCTAAAATCCTTTCAGACAAAACTTACACTTTTTGCTAAATAACTGTTTGATCAGAACTTTGCTCACTTCTCCCTCTTCTGAAAGATCAGCCTGTGGAATATACATCTGCACAAAAATGCAGTGGACAGATCACAGACTTGAAGGAAGAATTTGCTAAGAGATTTGCAGCTTTCAATGCAATGGAGCCGCCGTTCAACGTGCTGAGGTCTCCATTCACCTCTGACATTGAAACTGCGACGAATGAAATACAATACATTTTTCTTTCATTTTGTCAATTATTTATGCCGTTTTGAGTTTCCAAGATAAAAAAAAAACTATAGCTGATAAATAAATAGTTGCATATTATTTTACCAAGTAATTCTATACGTTTAAATTATTTACTGGTTTCTTAAAGAAGCTATTTATTGATCGATCCCTTTTTTCTTTTTTCGTAAAAGAGGTTGTATTTTGCTTTTAAATCTAAATAAATCGTTCAAGCGACAAGTAATTTACAATCGCCTGATGAGATGCATTGATACGCATCGAAACACGACTGCAATTGTGTAGCGATTTTAACATGTTTTTCGATGTAATATCATAAAATAAATAATATTGCTCTACTTTGTATTGATCCCTCTTTTAAATTAAAAGTTACGAAAATTGGAATTGTACTCTATTCGTTTTCATCTGACCTGGATATATATATATATATATATATATATATAATACGCCGTCACTGAAATAGTATTGCGTTGCAGCTTAAATCAGATACCAGTCTCGTTGACAAGTTGCAGCTTCTTCTAATCAAACTCTTGTGGCTTAAAAATTACCCTTCGGACAAATCGTTAAGCACAAGTGAAAACAAAACAATTTCTAACAGTAAACCAGATTTTATTCTTGGATTGTAACCTGCTTCTATAAGCGATCGAAACTGAGATGAAGAGTAAGTGAGGGGGGGTGAACATTCAAATGGGTGTCTTTCCTGTCCGTTCCCCGAGGCCCGCTTTGTCTCTCGCACTCTCTGTGACTTTTCACAAGACGGTCAGTTATAGATAACAATTTTCTTTGTCTTTTCATCTTCGTCTAAAAAATTAATTTACCTTACTTCTGTGACTTTCTCTCTGTCTGAGCCTCTGTGCAGATAGATAGATAGATAGATAGATAGATAGATAGATAGATAGATAGATAGATATGAAAAGGACAGATAGATAGATAGATATGAAAAGGACAGATAGATAGATAGATAGATAGATAGATAGATAGATATGAACATATTGAGATAGATATGAAAATATTGAGATAGATAGATATGAACATATTGAGATAGATAGATAGATAGATAGATAGATAGATAGATAGATAGATAGATAGATCTAAATTGAAAAATCATAAAGATCTGTCGAAAGAAACAAGTCCTCTAAAGTGGCCAGTTTTTCGATCAACTCTCATCAAAGGAGGTCTGTAATCATTTTTTTTTTTAAATATTAAACCTTAGTAGCAATAAACACGAATTAAAACAATTCTGTTGTATCACAGGACAAAATATTGAGAACCATATTTAACCAACTTGGGTTACGCCGAATAATTTTCAGGAATATTTAAAAAAAAAAAAAAAAAAAAAAAAAAAAAAAGGATACTAATTAAAAAAAGTAATGAACTGATGACAGTTCTTCTAATCACTTCAGACAGTATCAGGATAGCTGGAGAGTCCATCGGCTGAAATACTGGGATCGAAACAATAAAGATGAGGATATTAGTCTAAACAATTATTATGAAAATAATTAAAGTAATTTATCGTCTGATTCTTTTTTCCTTACAAAATAAAATCTCTTCATGAATTACTTAAAACTTGCATATTTCTCCGCCGCGTTGCCAGTCGATGTTCACGGGATTTCGCCACTTCCGATGGGGTTAACTATTCCCGTTTCCTACGACGATTCCAGTACAAAAATGATCGCCATCTTTTTTGGATTCATTTGTTTTTTCCTGTTGAGCGCGTTTATCATGCTTCTCTGGTGGCCGATGAAAGATAGGAAAATCCGACAAGGAGACAGGTAAGTGTGACACCATTTATACTCATTTTATTTATTCTTCTTCTTCTTCTTCTTCTTCTTATTATTATTATTATTATTATTATTATTATTATTATACAAAAGGATTGACGTACTGTATTTTTCGGCTTACAAGACGTTGCGGCGTGGAAGATGCACCCTAATATAGGAAAGAAATTACTAAGAAAAAAAGTCATTCTCATACAACAACACATTCACCATGTGTCCCTCACATACTGGCGCCACGTATTGTTTACATTAATCACTCGTCCAATTTTGTTTGTATTTTAATGGCATACTGGTCAAGAGCATAAAGGCTCCCGCCGCTGCTAGTAAACATTTCATGTTCAAACTTGTGGCTCGGCTCCAGGAAGGTTTATAGTCTTGGAAATACTTGTAACAGTTAAATACTGAGGCTACATTATATAAAAGGCTGAATTAAATAGATAGCTAACATTATAGTGTAATGACTCAACATACAAATCCACGTCCCTATCAGTCAAGCCAATTAGGTGATCGTCCAAGCTCACAGCAGGTAAGAGAAGAGCAACTGAAACGTGCTTAATCTGATGGTGATCTTGTTCATCTGGAATTATATATATATATATATATATATATATATATATATATATATATATGTATAAATTCTCCACTGCCTTAACCAGGTATTGAACTCACACTCTTTCGGTCCTGTCACTGGATCTAACTAACGCCTTTATCTACTGTGCCATGTGTCCTTGAGGGAATTAAGCAGAAGATAAGGGATAACTGACATCCATTACACATGACACGTGGAACTAGAATAGTCTACCCCAGTGAGCGAAATAAAGGGTTAAGTTCGACATTCCAACCACCTGAAGAAGGCCGGAGCGTACAACGGCCGAAACGTTGTAATAAATATGGCGACAAAGATGAGAACAATGGTCCGAATAATGTAAATAGTGTAATTATATCTTACTGGAATCCTCCGAGATTTTTCTAACACTATTGAACTCTACTTTGAACAATAAGAATATATAATTACTCTTTAATCTTAACAAAAGTATTATGATAAAATCAATCATTAATGAAAATGACATGTTCATCATTAATTAATCATAGCTAAGGAACGGAAGCTCATAAATCATTGAAATAAAGTTCAGATATATATATATTATTCCAGGATGATTTTCCAACTTATTCAAGATGATCTTTGTCCTCTACAATCTAACTTTCTGTTCTTGAGTAAGAAAGTGCCTCATAGGTTTCACGTACGATTCCATTTACAAGTCTTTTTTTTTTACTGTACTTTGGACTGTCATAGCTGAAACTCATCTCTCACGTGCCAAATGTCTTATAATTGAGTTGGATCTTTTCTAATTGATCTCTTTAGCTCTAAATTGAAACGATCCCTCTTCCTGTTGTGACCTCCTCCTCCAGTTTTCCTCTCTACTGTTCCCTCTTTTTTAAACTTACGAATAATGGTGTCAAGATGGCTAAACGTTTTATCAGAAAACCTGGAAAATTAGTTTAGTGTTATTTTTTTTAGGTATTAAACATTATATGGAATGGACAATTATGCTGTTACACGATTTGGACAATTTTGCCGTTACACCCGGTATATACATACTATCATCCGCAGAGATTAAACTCCGTGATAATAACACTGTCGTTACTTTTTATTGACAAATCCAAAAAGTGGGGATGGTCCGACACAAGCCTTCACGACTTGAAACAAATCATTGTATTGGTTTTCTGACAACTACATCTAATTAGTTGCACACAGAGCCGGTCTGAAAAGTCATGCCCGTCATAGGCATGCAGATAATTAGTTTGTGGGCGTCGGAACCTCATACGTCTTTAGAATGCATGCCTTACGAAGAATAAACAATACCAGCTCGTTCCTATTTCCAAGACGCGGGGTTCGAGCCTCGGTGTTTGCTTTCTATTTATAATTCTCTTGGTGATACTTATAAATATATTTCTAAAGCCAAACATTTACATAACTCATAACAATTAAAGGCACCGTTTACTAACCCAATTCATATTATATTTCTAAATATTGTTGTCAACCAATTTGAAATTTAAATGACCCATCAACTTAAAAAAATACAAAAAACAACCTTTTTCTTCATTTATTTCAATTCCAGTATCACGGATGTTGAATCTCTTCCCAGTGATTGGTCGTTTGGACAAAATGAAGGAGACTAGTAAGTATAAATCAACCAATCAAATGCATCGTTTTTTTCTGGCACAATCAGTTGTTGATATATATATATATATATATATATATATATATATATATATATATATATATATATATATATATGTGTGTGTGTGTGTGTGTGTGTGTGTGTGTGTGTGTAATAAATACATTGAGCTCTCTTTGCGGATCAATTTTAATATTTTATATTATTAGGATTCACTTGGATTATATACCAACAGATTATTACCTATATATATATATATATATATATATATATATATATGTATGTGTGTGTGTGTGTGTGTTTGTGTGTGTGTGTGTGAATCGCAGACAATACTGTTTCGCTGTATCACAGCTCCTCAGTGCGACTAGACATCCGAATGCCTCAAGCATTAATATCAATGTAATAATATGTTAGAGAGCTCAATGTATTTATTATAACAGAGCATATAAATTACATAGAATGGAAATCCAAAATTACCTCATTCGAATAGCTATTTCGGCCCACAAACACTTACTTGTAGGCTTTGTCAACTTAGAGTTGTGAAGAAATAAAAAATGGAGTAATTTTGGATTTCTATTCTATGTAATATATATATATATATATATGTGTGTGTGTGTGTGTGTGTGTGTGTGTGTGTGTGTGTGTGTGTGTGTGTGTGTGTGTGAAATAGTGGACATTGAGATCAACACCCAGCGGCGAGAGTCCGTTTCATGCTTAAGTGCAATTTTCAGGCCATCGCCGCTGAGTGTTAACCTCAATGTCCACTTTCATAGTTACACACGCTCTATCCTTGATATTGAACACTTTAAACCCTAAATATAGTGTAGGGATACAGAAGGCGATTGTCTCCCTTTCATGGAGATAAGTCACATGTGTTACATGATGGCCGCTTAGTGCCGTCACTATATACAGTAGCGAGTATAGCCAGTCAATTTCAGTCGGTTTACAGTAACCAAGCCAAGCGGTTGCTTTTTTTTAGCCTAGGGGCCCCGGCAAAGGCTAAGTCTGCCTCCCCAACAGCTTACCAGTTCATGGTGCCGTTTCTCTTTGGGAAAATATATTTCCCGGATATAGAATGAAACTTCGGCTCGTAGTCCTCAATTTAAAAAAACCAAAGATTCACCGTTTCCCGTTCGTGGAATATGTCCTCGCTTGGAACATAGTAGATGAATCAGGCTCGTTTGAATCTGGAGTCCTAAACATGGCTTCTGCAGAAACACAGAAGAATTTCCATATTATATGTAAAACTGTCCCTTTTTGTTTCTCCTTAAATTCTCTTCTCTGTATAATATATCATTCTCTGTGTGGGACATGTATATATATATATATATATATATATATTTTGTGTATGTCTTAGTGATAGAAAGTCTCTCTGAGAACAAATCTTGTTCGTTATTCCTTTTCCTGTCAGCCATTCCGTTTGGTCCGTGAAACACGGTGTTATTATATCACAGACATAATAATGCCCATAATGGGGGAAAACATAAAAAGGAAAATAAACCTTTCATCTCTTTAAACTCTTCTCCCGTTACAATACCATATCTTAAAACTATATTTTTATCATATTTATATATATATATATAAAAGTATATTTTATCATATATATAATGAACTTTTATTCATATACTGCAGTTTTTAATATATTACTTTTGAGGCTTTATTTCAGATATAAAGACAAATTTGTTAAGTTCCTCGATTATACGGTCATCTGAAAATTAACTTTTTTCTCTAACTCTAGAAAAATGCGTATCAAAGAATCTGACATCTTAGTAACTTCTCCATAAATTGTCAGAATTCTTTTTTTCACGTTTCGTATTTTTACCTTTTTTAAACTAACCAGGTCGTCTGTCGAGGCACCCCCATAACACCCACACTCTTCTTCCTGGTGCTATTTATGTGTGTCATCATAGAACTTTCGGTTGCGCAATTATTAGTGGACACAGGGCGCTACTCTATTTGTCCCCTCAAATTTCATCGGACTCACAATAATTAGGCCACACCCATTGCTCAAGGTGCCGGATCTTTTTGCATGCCTCCACTGCACTTCAATTTCACGAATCCAGTCTGTTAAAATTTGCCATTGACCAAATCCAGCATCCCGCAGCTGATGTCTTCACTGTAGCCTGGCCAGGGGTGGGGCTTCCAGGTGCTATGCCTTGGCAACCAGTGATTTGGTCGTTAGGGTCTTGAATTCAGAGTTGTTGTTCTCCTAGGCTGATTGCCATCCAAGGCTAGAGAGCTTACCTTTCTTAAAATAAAAGACTTGACCTGCCAAAAACGTTGCTTCTTTCTTTTACCGTCAATATTAGAATTCAGAGTTGTCAAATTGGGTTACAAGTTGTAAATTAGGTTCCATTTAAAAGCTGCGACACTATGATGGAGTCTCTACATATAAGTAGATGGTGTGTGATATTGTTTTGGTTTTAAGTGTTTTGTGTTTCCTGACCAGAAAGGAGTTCTCTGAAATCGAATCGTCAGGGCGGTCACCCACTTGATCAAAAGATTTTGAATAGAGGGAATACTGAACCACCAGTTATAGCGAAGACAGACTCTGTCCTTCGGGGCAACTCCGATGCCGCTCATTAGAGCTACCAGCCGCGTATCGCGATGTTTGATGAGGACAGATTGCTGATTAAAGGAAGAGTTGAGGCGATAATCTGATCCATTAGTCGGAGATACCATAAATGGTAGAAGTTGTCCTCAAGTGACACCTACGTACCCCACCCAGACTCCCTGATATAAATGCCTAAGTATATTGGAAACAGGTTATAAGTCCTCGCTTTTTGCTTTGTCTCTCCTTGTGAGCTTATAACGGGCTTTTATCAAATACTATGTGGGTGTCCTAATCATAGGGACAAATACCTCTACACACCGACTTGTCATTTATAAAACAAATTATAAATTACAAACAAAAAAACTGAATCAGTCGAAAGTCCCTGAAAGAAAAGCTTTCTGTTTTATATCTGTCATTCATCTATTTTATATCTGTTTTATATGTTTTGTATATGTTTCATGCCAGTTTTACATCTGTCATATATCTGTTTTACATCTCTTATATATATGTTATGCATCTGTTTTATATTTTTTATACATCTGTTATACATTTGTTTTATATCTATTTTATATCTGTTTTACATCTGTTATTCATCTGTTTTACATCTGTTATACATCTGTTTTACATCTGTTTTACATCAGTTACATATCTGTTTTGCATCTGTTACATATCTGTTTTGCATCTGTTTTACAACTGTTTTTATCTTTTATACATCTGTTATACATCTGTTTTATATCTTTTATACATCTGCTATATATCTGTTATCCATTTGTTTTATATCATTCCGAATATCATTTGCACTCCTCATAAATCTCAGTGTTTTCTTTTCACATTTTTTTTTTGGGGGGGGACATCTAAATTTCGAATTGATATTTTTCTTATAAGCCAGGGGTGGCCAAACTTGTTTGATGTAAGATCCACTTGCGATAAAGTTCAGATGTTTGAGAGCCTTGGCAACCAATCATTTGGCATGAACAAAATTTACAAATATGTTTTTCTTACATTCACATTATGTTAAAAAAATTTTCTATAAATATTAAGAAATGTATGTCTGCAATAATATTTAGCCATGTATGCATCTTTTTTAAACTGTTAATTTGTATTTGTTTCAGTAATCACAATGTATATATATATATATATATGAAAAATTTCTCAGAGTTAACCTGTATAAAAAGACAATATTTATAAATATAAAAGACAATAGGAAAACTGTAATAGTTGCCGACGCGTTTCGTCTGATGTTGACTTTCTCAAAGCAAAACGAAATGAATTTATTAGACAAAGTAACTAATAATAACAAAACAAAATGTCCTTAGCAACTGGAAGAATTTAGAGAATGCTATTTTCATACTGTTAACTGAAAATACGTTTTATTATATTTTCAAAATCTTGACTGATGATTGTTTTAAACGATATTGTGCATATTTAATATAGTAATGAACTACAGAAAATTCTATGAAAAATATGCGAATTTGAATTTCAGTGAACATCAAATTATGTAAGTAGATGACGTGAGTGTGGTTGCCTTAATCCCCTTCCCCATGAAATCAGTCTCTGATCTTGCTTTGTGACCCTTGCTGACTGGAAATTTCTTTAATTCCTCTCTCTCTCCAGCCATTCCTTCCCTCGGTACTAAAGAACAATGCCTCACTCAGATCTAGAATGGAAATTAGGATTAAAATTCTTAAATATCTTTAATAACGATGAACATTATACTCACGTTTTAATCCAATGGAGTTATAAAGCTTGAAATTTTCCTTATTTGATTTTTATTTTAACTGTGATTAAAAAGGGTGCTCAGGTAACATATTATCGTGAGCCACATATTAAAGGTCAAAGAACCGCACATAGGTCACGAGCCGCGGTTTGGCCATTCCTGTTATAAGCCGAAAAAGCTTCTTTTTTTTTTCTTTTTTTTTTTTAAATTTTCTCCTCACCCCGCAAGAAATAAACCCAAGGAATATAATTCGAAATATAATTATATTGGGTTTTCAAATATTTTCCAATTTGTCAACTCTGATAATAACCTTTATCACAATGCAATAAAAACGATCGTTTTGAATGAAGTTAGTTAAAGCTACATTCTCCTAATGCCACCAAATATGAACAATAAACGATTTCAATTGTTTTTCTTTGTAGTAATATGAAGTTACCAAGAGCCTGGATTGAAACAATGAAAAGGTAAATTTCAAGATTAACCGCTTTGTGTGTCAGTTCAAAACGAAACTTTGATATTTTAAAAAATTTCTGTCATAAATAATTGCTATACTTTAAATCTCTTCCCGTGGAGCAATAATTAATACGCTTGTCTTGCAGTCCATTGTTAGTAATGTGAGTTCTATCTTCACTGAGTGCCATTCGATTATGACCTAATTCTTAACGACTCAAAATTTATTAATAAAAGAGAACCACTGAGAAAAAGAATTAAAGACACGGGAACAAGGCGTAAATGCATTATTTTTTAAAATTTAATTTAATAAATATTTTATTTTATTATTATTTTATTTAATTAATGAAATATTACGTCATTTTGTTTAAAAACAAAATTCCAACAATATTATATTTATTAAAATAAGCGTTCTTTCTTTTCTTCTTACTTCATCATAATATGGATGCTATCTTTTTCCCGCTAAAACTAAACAATTTTTCTAATACATATTTTTCATCCGTCATATTTCGCAATCAAAACGGAATGGGCCATTATTTATCTGTGGTAATAGCAAGGCATGACGTAGATGTGAAGGGAGAAACACGCAGAATTATAACTTATACCTCATCTTTCTTTTTGTTTGTTTAGGGGCATATCGAATCCTTATGGGTCATTTCGTCATTTCATATCGAAATCTTATTCTTTTTGCTTTGGTAATCTTTTTTTTTTTTTTTTTTTTTTTCCAAAAATGTATTGCGGTTAATTTGATTTTTAATTTAATTATGGTAATTTTTTCCAGTGTATTTTTATACTTTCATAGTGTTTTGACCCCAGATTAGGGGTTCACCATTTGTCCATTGCTAGGACCCTAACAGGGGCTACCACCCTGGGTCAGGATGGACCTGAGAATAACAGCAATTAAGAGGTGGTTTCGCGCTCCTCAAAATCTCCCGATCAGAGGCCTTGCTGCCGGATGTAGTCTATCGTCAGACCCAGTTCATCTCAGAGCTTAAATATTGATAAATGTTGAAAAGTACCCTGGTCGAAATGTAAGACAAAAGCGACAAAGACAAGCATATCCATTTGAATACTTCCTTTAATAATAAGAGAAATTGTCGGCCATTTATGATTATGTGACATCTTTTTTACTTGCAGATGTCCAGACGAACAGTTTGACTCCCGCTTACAGCAATTGCAAAAGGAGGCCCTGGAAAATTCTTTCGAGTCGGACTTTTCTCACCATCACGATCTACGACAAAAGGAGCCTTATCTCCTGGGAGCAGGTATGGCCACCAACGGTCAGTGGTCTGAAACGTTGTCCATTAAGCAATCAGCCGAGCAGGCGTCACATGGACAACTCACGGGGATAGTGGCGGCCGGAGAACGAACAGTGTCTGGAGGAAAACTGATTGAGGGAGGAGGCATGTGTAGGATGGAGTCTTCGACAAAAGTATTCGAGAGAACATCAAACATTGATTGCTGTCTTGCTAGTGGCGGTGGAGGTATCGGCAGCAGCGGAGGCATCGGCAGCAGCGGAGGCATCGGCAGCAGCGGAGGCATCGGCGGAAGCAGCGGGGTCAGTGGAGGCAGCGGCTTTGTTAGCGGAAGTAGCGGTTTCGTTAGCGGAAGCAGCGGCTTTGTTAGTGGAGGCGGCGGTATTGGTGGTGATAATTTGATGGCCGTTCGCCGTGTTAAACTTGAGTGAGTATATCAACATTTCCAGCAGTGTTTTTGTTTCCGTTTATTTACTATCAATAGATTTTGAGTTCATCTTAAAGCTTATTTTCTCTCACACTCAGTAACTCCTTGAGTCTTAGTGGCTTTATTGCCTTGCTTGGGGTGAAATGATTAAAAAAAATATCTTTCAAATCAAAAAACATAAACATTTTCCGATATTAGCATTCACAAACCATCACTTGTAAAATGTTTAGAAATATTTAAACTTTCAGTTGTATACAACCGCTTTCTCAGAACAATGGTTAATAGTGGCTTTGAGTGAATGAACCCTGTAGGTCTTTGTGAGGACCATCCTTCTTTGAACTTTGTGGACAGACGTTACAGAATCACAAATAAATAACTGTACCAAATAACAGAAACCATATTACTTAAGGACTACCAGCTGCAGCAACAACTAAAATTGATAGCACATGTAACTTAAGGGGAAAATAATGACATAATCAATATTTTGACATTCCACACTACTTTAAACAAAAGGTTAGGAAGGAAACCCCTGTTAATATTGGAAAGAATGAGAACAACTACTGAGTTAAGAAATTTATTTTCTTGAAAAATTGTTTTAATAGAAAGATTTTATAAACCGTCCGTAGTATTGTAGAGATAAAAAAGAACAGATACTATGCTTTGATCCCAGCCCGATGGCCAAGGAGTGAATGGTAAATTTAATGGTAATATTAGCCGTTTCCCTATAAGGAAACTTTTGGCATTTATTGACCGAGCAGCTAGTACTGCTTTCGGTTGAAATTTATAAAGTCTTTCTCTTCAAACAACTTTTCAGAAAAAAAGATTTCTCGAGTCCAATAGTTGTTATCAATAAAATACACTTCCCTGTGTTGTGCTAGACAATTTTTCTCGCCAGAATCGATCTTACATATTTAATAAACCTACCATTCGTCCTTACTTTGATTATTGCTACCACATTTGGTCTAACACTCTTGCTCTATATTTAGAGACTCGTGATAAAATACAAAGAAGAATCTGCAATATCGTTGGTCCTGACCTGGCATCTAGGCTTCAATCCCTTTCCCATCACCGTAACATAGCTTCCCTGTGTCTTTTCTATAAATACATCTATGGTAATTGTTTTGATGATATTTATGGTAAGGACCGAGTGGGTTTCAGTGTTGTTGAATTAGAAACACATGCTGTTTATTCCTGCTAGAAGAAGATCTAACTACAAGAAAATGGCAGACTAAAGTTGAGTCCAACCGAAGATGTAAAAGAAAACAAACAAGATTGATATATATATATATATATATATATATATATATATATATATATATATGAAGAAAATTTGGAAAAAACAAACAAAAATCCTTAAATGCAATTATGTTGTTTTAAAATGAATGAAATATCGACGTCTGACGTTTCGGTTTAATAAACCTTTTCAAGACAATATTCATTAAAATACAATTCAGTTCAATTTGACAAAGACGATGGACATAAAAAAGCGTCGCCCATGTGACGACAACGTGACCATGCTAAACGGAAAGCTGATCATTTTAAAAATTTTCAGTTATCTGTTTTGGATAAGACTTGTTTTTTATGTCCATCGTCTTTTTGTCAAATTGAACTAAATTGTATTTTAATGAATATTGTCTTGAAAAAAAGGTTTATTAAACCAAAACGTCAGACGTCGACATTTCATTCATTTTAAACAACATAATTGCATTTAAGGATTTTTGTTTGTTTTTTCCAAATTTTCTTCATTCTGTCGGATCTATATCCATTTACATTTGCTTATATATATATATATATATATATATATATATATATATATATATATATATATATATATCAACAAATAAATGTATTAAAACAACAATTTTACAAGTGACAAAGACATCAACATTTGTGTTTGTGCGTGTACGTAAAGAGTTTGTATATTGGTGAATGTTCATACGTATGTGTATGTGTGTTTCATGGCGTTTTCCCCACAAGTGGGGCAAAACGCAGATCTCTGCGAGAGATCACATTTTTAAATGTGTCCGCTGAAATGCAGAGTGAAAAGAGAATTTACCTCACCTCTACTCGAGGTAGGATGCGGCACGAAGCCTGAAGGAAAGAGAACGAGGCAAGAAGTCGCCCAGTATTTATAGTGTAGGGAGAGTGACACCTAGTGAACAATTAGGGAATTAAGGGGGAGCTAACTCCGACAGACTTTATGAATTTAAGCACAGTACTAGATTGGTGGCAAGGTTTCATCATTTTACAGTTGAAATGCCTAGATGTAACCGTAAGTTCTATGCTAACAGTTTCTTCTCACGCACTTCTCGCTTGTTAAACTCTCTTCTGGTTTCTTCTTTCCCAGCCAAGTTTGATATTCAAAATTTTAATGTCGATGTCAATCGTTATCTGCTGTGTTCTTAATTTTTGTTCTTTTATTTTTCTCACCTTTAATAGTATTTTTCTTCTCATATTCTCTAACCCTCAGTACCCCCCCCCCGTGTCTTAGGGGCTTTATTGCCTTGCTTAGTGTGAAATGATTTTAAAAAATCTCACGGGATTTTTCAATAAATTTTTAAACGTATTGCCGTAGTTCAAATATCTTTTTGTGTATTTTAAATTTGCTTTTCATTGAGATCATAAAATTTGTTGCTAGAAAAAAAAGAAAATTATCTGAAATATTAATAATATTTAAAGGCATTATCGTATTGAAAGTTTTCGTTCCTACAACTTTCAATCTGAGGTGGGTATTGTCAGAGTTAGCTCCTCCTTAATTCCCTAATTGTCACTAGGTGTCACTCTACCTATACTATAAATACTGGGCGACTTCTTGCCTCGTTCTCTTCTTCTTTCTTCTCGCTACAAGATGTAGTTGCAAAAGGATTCTCGTCTCGACCATGGGCGGTCAGACGTTAAAAGCATATTCACGCATGCGCGTACGTACGAACTTTTCCAAACTACATTACAAACATACAGAACATTTTGAAACAAGCAATAAGAACTTTTCTCTTTGAAACATTCTTCTAAACAACAGTTTATTCATTATTTCTCAGCTTTGTAATTAATTCAACTTTTGTGAGTTCAGATAAAAATATTCACAATCTAACTTTAGCTTGTAATATTGTAATTTATTTTAATCTATGTTATTTTACGAAATTTTATCATAAGTCATAAATGCGTCTTTGATGCTGAAACGTATTTAATGACAGGTCATGCGATTGTGATTTTATGTTGATAAGGATTGGTTGGTTTGTAGATTCAGACACAGGGAAGCTATGTTGCGGCGTTGGCAAAGGGATTGAATCCGAGATGCCAGATCAGGACCAACGATATTGCAGATTCTTCTTTGTATTTTATCATGAGTCTCTACATATAGTCTTTAACCTCTATACATGTACATCCGTATACACAAATAAATATAAATGTTATGTTTTTAAAACCATTTTTTCCTTCTTGTTTTTCATGTTTTGTAGTATTTTACATCAAATATAAATTGTGTGGTCATGTTATTCACGCAGCCGTAAACAAACATCTACAAACCAATCAATCCTTATCAATATAAAACCACAATCGCATGAACTGTCATTAAATATGTTTCGTCATCGAAGATGCATTTTGACTTCGTAAAATAACATAGATTAAAATAAATTTCTTTTTCTTGGTTGCAGAGTAAATTTTCGGGATTCATTTTCGGATAAAATTCCGTGAAATAATGTTATTTACCCTAACAAGACAGCTACACCCCGAGATAAATTTTAAACTCATTTGGAAATAATCAAACCATAAAAGTTGTATGAACGTTACAAGGGAAGTAACTTTTACAGATTTATTTCCCTTTTTACGGATTTATTTCCCTTAGATATAAATTTGCTTATCAACCTTTTCTTTTTTCATATGGCCTATTTTTGGTGTCAAAAAAAATCAGGCCCACGGCTAGACATGCCTTGTAACAGGATCAGTCCAAATATGATGCAGATAAACTTTCAAAAGCTAGAATAACATATTTGTTAATTAATTCTGTCCTATTGTAGCTCAATAAAGGATGGCGACTTTTATCCGAGGTTACACGTCTACTAGGAGGCGGCTAGCCACTCCCTATTGCAGACGCCTGCTCAGATAGATTTGTATTTATTCAACCCCCACAGAGCCCACCTGTGGTTTATACGAGAGCTATGCTGAGCAGACCTTAGTTACAGTTTCTGGGAGAGAGCGTGTCGTCTAATGTGATCAACAATTTGAACATGGCCAGCACGCTCAGACTCTCGGTCACGATGACTTGTGACTTCGTGCTAGCACAACTATCGACTGCTCCCAAAGGGTTTCCGTCTACCCAATTTCACTCACAAAGCTTGGGTCAACCTATGGTATGGTTTTTCAGGCACTTTCCAAATGTACCACACCCTTGGATCGCCTCCTCCAGATGGATAACATCAGGAAGTCTACCTTCCTGACAAATCGACCATGATTAGATTCGAACCCCGTTCTGTTCGGCTTGTTAGTCTAGTCGCGTGATTCTCGCTTTGGGTGCGAGAGGTCCCGGGTTTAAATCCCGAATGAGACTGTAATGTTGTCTTTGTCTTATATACATATATAAAATGAAAAGTGTGTGTATATGTAACAATTTTTATAGAGTGCTCAATTATTACACTGACCCTTAAAATAAATGTTAAACTGTTTTTAATGTTATTTATTTCTGAGTTAAAATTAAAAGAATACAAATGACGTAACTCCAGATATTCATAAAACTTAAAACTTCAAGAGAGGTAATTTTTTTTTTATTTTTGTAGCTCAATAATTCGCATTTTGTAACTCAATAATTCGCATAAAAAATGATGCTCTCAAAGAAATAAAAATATCGGGGGTGGGGGAGCTATCAGATCTATGCCCCCCCCTTCCTTCTTGATTGTTAAATACTTCAGCATAAATCTTCTGAATGGGTCTGAGTCGTTCCATCAGCTCTTTTAATCTTCACAGATCCGAACTATATTGTCACTACCAAAACTCTACCCAGAAGCCAAAATGGTCTGGTTTTGTTAGGGTTTTTAACTCGAACCACATCAGCAACTTTGACTCTGTTGGTGAAGCTGACCTCATGTAAGTCATCGTGAAGCTCTTAAACACGTATTCCAACATGTTTTTCATGGGGTTTATGATAGGATAGGTTGCTTTATTTAGTGAAGGGACCTCTTTAGTCATAAGCGAACAATTAAAGACAGGTCTTATTTTCGGTAGTTGCTTGGTCCTCAGATTTAAACACAGGTTTATGAGGTATCAAAACCTATTGTGGGTAACATATATCTGATCTATGACTCACCCCCTTTTCCTTCTTGCTTGTTAAATACTTCAGCATAATCTTCATACCGATTCAATTCCATCCTGACAATTAATGACTACAGAATGGTTTGAAAGGACAGCTAGTTTCTTCCTCCGCCCAAGACAAACTTACATAATGGTAATTTTCTATAGCCTTTGCAAACTGTTCAATTCTTTTTCTATGTTAAAATCACTAACGGGTTTTCTTAATTTAAGTCATTTCATCTTTTATCATTCTCAATGAAATGTCTATCAACGGATATGACATTATCCCTCAACGTGTCACATAGAGAGTTTGAAATTTCTGAATTTTCCTTTTCAATGAAGTCACGTTATCAATTATCAGTTCCATAAAAATAATTATCATTGGTAGAGACAATATTATCTCTCAAGGTCGTATCACGATGAGAGTCTGAAATTTGAGGATTTTCAGGTGCAAGGAAATCACTTGATATTTTATCAGTCTTAAGAAAATCTCCATTATTATTAGATATAGTAATATATCTCATTGTATTATTTAAAAGAGAGTTTGAAATTTCAGAATTTTCATTTGCAATGAGGTCATTTGATATTTCATCAGTTTCAAGTACATATCTATTATTATCAAATAGAACACTATCTCTCAATTTATTTGGCACAGAGAGAGTCCGAAATTTTAGAATTTTCAACAAAGTCTCCAGACTGACTCTTCTTCTGTTCTGCCTCATTGTTCCAGAAATTTGAATCCTGCTCAAAACGATATGCAAAATCAAAAAAAAAAAAAAAAAGGAATTCAAAGTAATCGTGTGCTTCATAAATATTTTTATTCTCAATATCTTTCATGTGAAAATCTAAATATCAATTATTTCATCCATGAAAGATTCTACAGTATTTAGCCATTTAAGCACAGATTCTTTCTGTAGAGAGAAAAGGTATTTTGGTACGTTTTTTTTGGGGGGGGGACTTTTTTTTTTCATTAAATTCAAGGTAGCGTCAATTCTCTACTTGAATTGAAAACGTTTTCCCTTCAATTTATAAATGGCGTCCATTTCTATATTTGAATTTATCAATAAATTTCAAAAGAAATTATAGTTAGAATTTTACTCATAAAATTCTCCGGTTCGGCTTTTGAAGGTAACAGGATTTTTGTTGCTTCAGTCTTGACACTAAATTGAAGGTAGCGGCCGTTGAAAAAGGAAAAATAGAAAAGGTGACTATAGGGGACTGGGTTGTAACGGTCACCCTTGGTCTTGAGGACCAATCTGAAGAATGCAATAACAAAGGCGTTGCTTACATATTGTCATATTGTAAATTGATTTTATTGTCACATAACCTAGGAGGAGAGAAAGAGAGAGAACGAGAAAAATAAGAGTGAAAGAAAACGAGAAAAAGAAAAAATTAAAGGAGGGAATTTTGAGAGGGAGGAATAAGAGAGAGAGAGAAGAGAAAGAGAGGCAAAAATGAGAAAGAAAAAGAGTAAATGAGAGAAGGAATGAGAAAGAGAGAAAAATAAAAGAGAGAATGAGAAAAAGGGAGAAATAATAGAGAGAAGAATTATAAAGAGAGAGAAATAAGAAAGAGAGGGAAGTGAGAAAGAGAATGAGAAAGAGAGAGAAATAGAAAGAGTGAGAAATAAGAGAGGGGAAAAAATAAAATAGAGAATGAGAAAAAGGGAGAAATAAGAGAGAAAGATTAAAAATGAGAGAATGAGAAAGAGAGAAAAATAAGACAGAGAATGAGAAAGAGAGAGAATGGGAAAGAGAGACAGTGGGAAAGAGAGAAAAATAAGAGAGCGAAATGAGATTTAGAAAGAGAAAGAGAGAGAAATAAGAGGGAGAAAGAGAAATAAGAGAGAAAATGAGAAAGGGAGAGAAATAGAGAATGAAAAATAAGAGAGAGAGGTGAGCGCCATTTACATTATTCGGATTATTGTCCACATCTTTTTTGCCATATTTAACGTAACGTTTCGGCCGTTGGACGCTCCGGCCTTCTTCAGGTGGACTGTTCTAGCTCCACGTCTAATGGATGTCAGTTAAATTGAAAATTCACCTCTCCAAGTTCTCAACTCACAACTCTTTTGGGTCCTGTCACTGGATCTAACCAACGCCTTTATCCACTGTGCCATGTGTCCTTGAGGGCATCAGTGTATGAATTTCTAGGACTTATAAACCTAATGTCTTCAGCAACCATTTTTACCAGTGCTCATATTGCAATTTTTGCTATTATCATTTCATGTTTTTTTACCAGAGTTCATATTGCAATTTTCATCATTATTGCTTTTATCTGGCACTCCTTATTACTGGTTCCCATATTGTATTCATTTCTATGCTTGGTCGGCTCAGGAGATTTTTGTGGCCTAGTATATATGCTGATTCCTTAAGTTTACAAATTTTCCAATGGTGTTCCTTGTCTATGATCTCAACTTGATCCCACAGAGGGCGGTGATCTCCTTTTTCTCCCCATATGGAACATTGTTGAGCAACCACGCCTGGGTCATCTTGTCTTTGTGTGCAGGAGCGGAGTCCTGCTGGAGGACATAAGGGCGCCCGGCGGCGATCTTGTCCATCCAGGGCTTCACCTCAGCACCTCCTGGTAGATCTTAGTGGTGACTCTCAGGCCCTTTTGAAAGAAAAACGGTGGCATGATAGCCCCCCCTCCCTCACTGCACACAAGGTCAAAACGACCCAAGCGTGGCTGCTCAACAATATTTCTCACCACAGGTCGCCGGACTTGTGGCCGCCCTCCTCGCCTGACCGCAACCATCTTGACTATTTCTCCTGGAGCGAGATCGAGGCCAAGACAAACAAGCCCGCCCACAACACGCCGCTATGGACATGGTCGCCAAAGCGTGTGACTCATTTCGCGCCCGCCTTGAGACGGTCGTCGCCGGCGGTTACATTGAAAAATAATGTAGTATTTAACTCTAACTGTTGCTAAATAAACTGTCGGGTCTCTGCATATACAACTTTTGTTGTTATTGCCTATTTCGTTTTCTTTTTGTCAAGTGTCGAATTTTGCTGCAACACCCAGTACTTCTCTAGTCTATTCTTTTAATCCGTTTGCTGTGTGGGGGTTTCTCTCGTAAACCCTTGTTCTTTACTACACCCCACCAAAAAAAAAAAGAAATCCATTCGTGTTAGGTGTGGTGAACATGACGGCCACTCGATGCTGTCCCTTCTTCAGAACCAATGCTTTAGAAAGTTTTGTTTAAAACAGAGTCCCTCACTGCCAAATCATAAAGATGGCGGTGCTACATCTTGCTGAAAGAACAGTTTGGCGAAGTTCGATCTAAAACAAATCGTGAAACATCTACTTTTGGACAACCCTATATATATATATATATATATATATATATATATATATATTCCGTGGGTGTGTGTGTGTACGCTGTTTGCCAATTCGTTTTTGAGTATAAGGACCACAAGATTTTATTGCGAGACACAGTTATAGAACTGCAATGCCTCTGAATTTAATGTTTTAGAATAGAGTATGACTGATTCCATCCCTCTCTCTCTAAGTAAGAACTGCATGTGTCCAAATTGAAGAACCAGTCAGTAACATTGGATGCTGTCAGGTTTTCCTTCTCGTTTGATGCATCAAAGAAGACTAAAGACTAAAAAGTAAAGACTAAAGAGTAAAGAAACCAACACTTCCGGTGGCTTAACGCGCGCCTGGAAATCCATTCCAGACCCCACGAAAGTAAATCGATCAATCACACTAGAAGATTGGCAAATAGCCACTCAATATATTTTCCTTTTTTTTTTTCCTTTTTTTTTTTTCTTTTTTTTTTTTTGTTTGATGACGATGACAACTTTTTTTTTTTTCATTTCTTTTCTCAGAGACATGGAAGGAGAGACGAACGAAATCAAAAAGGAAAATTTCCTCAAAATCTACCACGCTTACCGCCAATATCTGCTCGTGCGCTACGCTCAATCAAAAGCTTAAAGCAGACGACAACGGGTTTTGTACGAAATAAAAAAAAACATACTTCACTTTCAATTCGACTTTTAATTGCCATTTTTTCCTTTTTTTTTTATTCATCAATTTATTTATTTATTTTCAGGGAATTTTCACTGCATGACATTTCCAAAATTGTATCCCTAAACGCTGAAAACTTCATAGACAAGTTAGTAAAGGAAAACGTGAAAAAATTAAAAAAATAATATATGGTTTACAGCATAGAAGAGGACCAATCGAAAATATGACACCGAAATCCGAAGATACATTGTAATAGGAAAATAAGCAAAGTACTACGTATTGGTATTGCTAAAGACGCATTCAAAAAGCTAAACAGAGTCTTAAGAGAGAAAAAGATTTCATTAAAAATAAAGAAAAGAATGCTGAACTGTTACCTGATATCTGTCCTCCTGTGACAATATTTTGGTTGCTGGTAAATAATACAAGGTAACCAAAAAAGTTCTGTCCGTTTTTTGATTAGTCATTGAATGAAGTTGAAATATATACGAAATGCGTGTAGCAATTGTTTTCAAATACGGATAGCCGGAAGTAGGAACATCAGACGTTATAAAAAACACGCGCACCTGTGAGAAGGATGGAAGTGTCTAGAGATCTCGTTCGGGGCTGTTTGCTTTATGACTTCAAAGTGGGCTTATCAGCAGCTGCATCAAGTCGCCGCATATGTCAGGCGTTTGGGGGATAGTGCTGTGGATGAACATAATGCAAGGCGTTGGTTTCGAAAATTCAAGTCAGGAGATTTGTCTCTCCATGATGAGCCTCGCAGTGGATGACCACAGGTCTTGAATGACGGAGTCCTGAAGGCGGCCATTGTAGAGGACAGTAGTCTAACGTGCGGTGAACTTGCAAGGCAGTTCAACGTTTCCGATGAAACAGTTAGACTTCACCTGCACCACCTAGGTAAGACGTACAAACTGAGCAAGTGGGTTCCGCAAACTCTGTTGGAGGTCCACAAGGGACAACGAGTGGCAGTCTGCGTATTGCTGCTTTCTCGCCACCGTACCTCATCCTTATTCAACTGAGTGCTTACCAGTGATGAAAAATTGGTTCTGTACGAAACTCCCAAGCGTTCCAGACATTAGTTGTCTCCTCAGGATGCTGTCCCTCACACCGAAAGACTGCCTATGCACCCACGCAAGATTATGCTTTGTTTCTGGTTGTCAGGTCGTCAAGTGGTTCATTATGAACTGCTACCAACGGGTCAAACGGTCACTGGAGACCTATACTCGCAGCAATTGAAACGTGTGCAACAGGCATTGTGCCAGAAGGATCCAGCACTGGTGAATCGCAAAGGTGTGTTTTTCCTCCATGACAACGTCAGGCCGCATGTCGCGCGAGTGGTCAGGGATACCATACAGCAACTTGGGTGGGAGACTTTGTGCCATCAACCTTATTCACCTGGCCATGCGCCATCCGATTACCACCTCTTCCACTCCCTGGATAATCATCTTCGTGGGAAATCCTTCACAAATGAAGCAGACTTGCGCAAAGCCCTCACAGACTTCTTTGCGCCAAAAACTCCACGAGTTCTACCGCAAGGGCATTGAACAGCTGCAGACACGTTGGCAGAAGATGCTGGATGCCGATGGCGATTACTTCGAAGACTAAATATAAGTTACACATACTGTGAAGTGTTTTCTTTTTTTCCTTTAAAAACGGACAGAACTTTTTTGGTTACCTTGTAATAAGGGCTTTTGAATATCAAACAAAAAAGATATACTGATAAATAAACTACCATGAAAAGGGTTAATGAATATCAAGAACGATACACTGATAAACAATTCGCTCCTAGAAAATCGAATATTCTAAAATAAATCAAATGATCGGCTAAGATCAATACTTAATTTTATGACGGGAGAGGTGTTGACAATTGTTTGATCACGCCCGCCATGAACTTGTCCGTGGAATCCCGATGAGGAGAATCGGATAAAATTTTAAATACCAGTTAAAGGTAAAAAGTTTCTGACACGAGAGCCAGGTAACCAGTGTCTGATTTCGGACGAGAAGGAAATATAAAACTGACTTGGAGAATCTCACTGCAGAGGCGTCAACCTTGAAAACAATAACTACTTGACTTAATTTTTTTTTTAAAGAAAACACACGGCGATATCTTAACATTCTACTGAGTGATTGTCACTATCGTATAAGATTCTACTGAGTGATTGTCACTATCGTATAAGATTCGAGTTTTTCCCTGAGAAAGTGTCTCTGGGTCAAGGGAGAAAAGCTCAGTTGTTTATCCAACTTTCTGATCAGAAAAATGTCAACACTGGTATCAATTCCCTTATGAAGTGAAAGCATTTGGAACAATAATTTTTTTAAAATTAGTCTTCGCTGGGTGGTTGAGGTGACAGGCGTAGAAGAGCGATCAAGGAAGGAGGAGGAGCTGCCCGCACCCATTGAAGGGTAGCAGGTACAGTCGAGACACCAAGGAGGGTGAAAGAGCTACCCACGCCCACTGAGGTGTATTAGTGGAAGATGGTAAGAGGGGGGGGGGAAGAAGCTGTAGGCGGAAAAATGCCTACAACTGTCATCCGAGAAAAGGGGGAGACTTCTAAATTGGGAAATAATTTCTCAGGACCAAAAACGATGAAAATGACAGGTGATATAAAATACCGAATTCCCCAAATGTGTCACCTCCACACATCCCCCCACACACCACACAAACGCCCCACACACACATCCCCCCACACATACACATCCACACCCCCCACACCAGTTTTTGGCAGATATCAATAAATACGAATATCTCAAGCGAATTAGAGGGATTGCCCGGAGAGTACTTTCCTGCCGCCGAGCGCGAAGTCAACGCACGTGACTATCTGCCGACGTGGACCCCCGACATCAGCCTTGAGCCAAACTTACCAAGTCAGCTAAACAAAGTTCACTAAGTCCGCAAGCCAAACCTTACCAGCTTAACCAAGTGTTGCATCTTATTTAGGGAACAGGTTGGGTCGGCAAACCTCTGCAGACTAACACCCAAACCCTAACAACTATTAACCAACCATTGTACGCAATACTTGATATAAAAATAGTCTGTGTCTGTCTCTGTCTCTGTCTCTGTCTCTCTCTCTCTCTCTCTCTCTCTCTCTATATATATATATATATATATATATATATAATTCATCGAGTCTAGAAGAAACCTCAACAGAATACAGAAAGCACTAGACGACCGTTTCGTCCTATATTTGGGACTCATCAGTAGTGCGCGTCCACTACCGAGAATTGAAACCCGGACAGTTACAAGATGAGGCAAACGTCATACCAACTTTTCCAACGGGGCTCTGTGACGAGTTTCTCTTTTACCCATAGGACTGTGCCCCCACAAGCTACAACTACTATCAACAAGCCGCTCTATTCAGAGCTTTTAAAGTCGATTCAAGCAAGGATATACAAGTGATGGAAATTATTAGGAGAACTTGAGGTAATTATAATTAAGTAATTGATCGAGTCTAGAAGAAACCTCAACTGAATGCAGAAAGCACTGGACGGCCATTTCGTCCTATATTTGGGACTCATCAGCAGTGTGCATCCACTACAGAGAAACCCAGACAGTTACATTATCAGGCAAATGTCATACCAACTGTACCAACAGGCTTCGGTGACGCAGAGGTAGCGAATTAGACTCGATATAGCGCCGCTCGATCATATATTCCGTGGTGAAACTCATCCGAGTTTCTCCTTACCCATAGGACTGTGCCCTCGAGAGCCACGGCTACTATCACCATAATGCTATTAAAGTCAACTGAGCACAAATAGTTATTAATTTAAAAAATCAGTAATTAATGTATAATATTATCTATAACTACATGTACAAATTTTTGATAAAAGTTTAAAAATAACCATAAATTTGTAAAAAATGCATATATTGTCGAAAATTCCTTTTTCCACAATATCGCTATTTGTGCTGTTATAATGCTTATTGCCTAAACAATAATAATACTGAATATATTTTTTAATATAAAAGTATATTTAATCACATCTTCTTAGCTTTCGCAATAAATTGCTCCAATGAGGTCTCGATTCATAATTATAATGCTTGAAATTTTCTTTAACTTTTATATTAACTGTGATGAAAAAAAGAAGCTAAGCCAACATATTTCCACGAGCCGCATCTTAAAGGTCAAGGAGCCAAATATGGCTCGTGAGCCGCGGTTTAGCAACCCCTGGTATATGCCATAGTTTAAGATACTCGGAAATGAAAAGATCATTTAACTGTGAATAATGTCCCGAGATAAAAAAAAAAATACTTTTATTTCAACACAGTCTACAGGTTTATAGCCTACAGCAGACACAAAAGTGCCGCCCCCATAAAAGTGCCGACCGGAGTGGATCGCCCCGCTCCGCTCCCCATTGGAGAACAGTAAGCGAAAAGGAAGTAAAAAAAAAGGCATTCTTTAAACGACAAGTACATTTAATAACAAATACTGAGTCAGCGCTCATCAATTCAAGCAAATGAATGCTAGTGAGGCATTTACAAAAGATAAGTTCAGAAAACTAATAGCCAAGAGTATCGTACTATCTGATTTGCAACAAAATTCCCATGGTGGCAAGGCAGTGGCTCAACAGTCTGCAACAAGCAAATAAGTCACAAGAAACGAAGAATTTTAAAACTAGCAAGAGAATGATTTTATAACAATAACCCCCACCCAAAAAAAAAGTTAAGATGTATCTCCAGTGTTAGCAGTGAATACTGTGCAATTTGCTCACAGATAAAGAGGAGATTTAGGGCAATAAGGGTGTGGTTCTACAGAAGGATGATGAGAATAAAATAGATGAAGAATATGAGAAACGGGAAAGTTTTAATGAAAATGGTAACGAAAACCATAGTTTGCTTAGAATCAGAAAAAAAAAGGTTGTATTTCTGGGCTACATAATGAGGAAAATAAGCTTGGAGAATTTGACACTCACAGGGCAAATTAAATGCAAGAGAGGCAGACAGACAGAGTGAATAACATAACGAGGTTTCT